CTTTTCTGTGGATCAAAAGCCGATTTGATTACAGGTTCCCGTCCAACAAATTGTCACTTAATATAAAAAAAGCAAGTTATATATTTTTTGGTTATAAGTTTAATACATTTAAATCTTCAATGAAAATTCAAATTGATAATACTTCTATTAATAATGTTAGATGTACTCGTTTCCTCTGTGTTATTCTAGAGGATTCTTTATCCTGGAAACCTCACATTAGTGCCATAAGTACAAAAATAGCCAAAGTGGTCAGTATACTAGGAAAAATCCGGCACCTGATTAACAAAAAAGTTGCAATTATCTCATATTATTCAATGTTATATCCATATATTAATTACTGTAATGTTGCTTGGGCTAGCACCCACCCAACTAAACTTGAATCTGTTTTTCGACTTCAGAAGCGAGCTTTAAGACTAATATTTTGTGTAAATCGTAGTCACCCCTCCCAACCACTGTTGCTCAGGCAAGTATTCTTAGTGTTTATCAAGTGAATCAACCTAAAATAGCTTTATTCGTTTATAGCTCTATAAAAAAGTTACTTCCCCAGCACTTTTGTAATATTTTAACTTTTAATAATGAATCTCAGGAGTATCCAACTCGTAGTAGTTGTCTTATCAGGCCTCCTTACTCTCGTACAACTCAAACACAGTTTAGTGTATTATACAGAGGATCAAGGATATGGAACAGTCTTCCCACATCACTGACAGATCTTTCTAAAGAACAATTTAAACGGAGAGTAAAAATGCTGCTACTAAGTTGTCTGAACTTTCCATATGGATTTGTGGTCTAGATGATATGTTAAATTGTTTTATACAAAGAAATGCTGGGGTTTTTTTTGTGTTTTTTTTACACAATATCATATGGATGTCTGAAATGGTGAAATATATTTGTTTTTATGGAGATTGCCACTCATTAAGGGTTTTTCGGCAGTTGTCCATCACATTTTCTTTTTTAGTGAAACATTGTTCTATTTTTTTATGTTTTTGTTGTGAAAATAAAATAAATAAATAAAATAAAACGGATAACAGTGAGATCATTAAATTCTCTTTGATGTTTTTAGAGTCTCATTTAGCTGCTTTCAGGGTGCATGGACTATTTTGGCAGATGTATTGAATGTCCCCTGCTTGTTCATTGGAGGCCAGTAAAACAGCTGATTTCAAATTCCGTTGAGACCTTTTAAAATTCCTCAGCAGACGCATAATCTTCACTGTTGAGATGGTTTTCTCTCTCACGTTAACAGTCAGCAGCGTGCCAAACTGCTTTCCTAAGGATTCAACAGGGCAGGCCTCCTTTAAAATGATCAGTAATGATTTCTCCTGTGTGGTAAGGTACACCTGTGGAAAATCATNTTTCTCCTGTGTGGTAAGGTACACCTGTGGAAAATCATGTACAAATTAATATGGTTATGTCCTTTATTTATTTCACTTTTATAGTAATTTTTTTTGTTATTTATCCATATGAATGGAATATTCTTAGAAAAACACAAGGTCTGTTAGTTATAACATTAAGTAACATTCTTTCATTATTTTGAAAATAGCACAGATAGTGAAACAAGCTATTTGATCTAAATATTTAGAGGAATAATATAATAATCTGGAATTAAAACATCTGCTGTACAGTCACAGCTGAAAAAACTTAAGAGAGAAGCTGGATCCTCTGGCTGTTTACCACACTGAACCCAGAGGAACACCGTCTTGTTTTATTAGTTTGATGAAATGAAATTAAAATGATGGTTTGCTCACAGTGGCACTCATTTGACAGCTTTTCTCCTCTTTTGTTCGTTCTTGGTTCTAACAGGAGATGGAGCAGCAGTTTGAGAAGGAGCGGCTCTCTCTGGAGGAGCAGAAAATGCTTCTTAGTCAACAGCTGGACGAGATGAGGGAGGAGCTGACGACCAAGCTCAAAGAAGCCAATGAGGAGGTAAGAGCAACCATCCAACCTAAGAATGGGATGACATCCAATTTCATCTTCCCTTTTGGCTGCAACACGTAAAACAATAAATAAAATAGCAATGTAATCGATACATAACAGTCACTTGATGGCATGAAGATGAACCCCGGAAATAAACAGGAATAATTTAATTTATTTTCTTTATACATTTATTATACACTGCTCAAAAAAATGAAAGGAACAATTTGAAAACACATCAGATCTCAATGGGGAAAAAAATCATGCCATTTATTTATACTGATATGGACTGGGTGATGTGTTAGGAACCTACAGAGGGCCTAAAAATTACAGAGAAAAAATGATGCGGCAGGCTAGTCCATTTTGCTGAAATTTCATTGCAGCAATTCAAAATAGTATTCAGTAATTTGTATAACCCCCACGTGCGTGTATGCATGCCTGACAACGTCGGGGCATGCTCCTAATGAGAGGATGCATGGTGTCCTGGGGTATCTCCTCCCAAATCTGGACCAGGGCATCACTGAGCTCTTGGACAGTCTGAGGTGCAACCTGGCGGCGTCGGATGGATGGAAACATAATGTCCCAGAAGTATTCTATTGGATTTAGGTCAGGCGAGCGTGGGGGCCAATCAATGGTATCAATTCCTTCATCCTCCAGGAACTGCCTTCATACTCTCGCCACATGAGGACGGGCATTATCGTACACAAGGAGGAACCCAGGACCCACTGCACCAGCATTGGGTCTGACAATGGGAGCAAGGGTTTCATCCCGATACCTAATGGCAGTCAGGGTTTCGTTGTCTAGCCTGCATAGGTCTGTGCATCCCTCCATGGATATGCCTGCCCAGACCATCACTGACCCATCACCAAACCGGTCATGCTGAACGATGTTACAGGCAGAATAACGTTCTCCACAGCTTCTCCAGACCCTTTCACATCTGTCACATGTGCTCAGGGTGAACCTGCTCTCATCTGTGAAAAGCACAGGGCGCCAGTGGCGGACTTGCCAATTCTGGTGTTCTGTGGCAAATGCCAATCGAGCTCCACGGTGCCGGGCAGTGAGCGCAGGGCCCACTAGAGGACGTTGGGCCCTCAGGCCACCCTCGTGAAATCGGTTTCTGATTGTTTGGTCAGAGACATTCACACCAGTGGCCCACCAGGTCATTTAGTAGGGCTCTGGCAGTGCTCCTCCTGCTCCTCCATGCACAAAGGAGCAGATACCGGTCCTACCGGGTTGTAGACCTTCTACAGACCTGTCCAGCTCTCCTGGAGTAACTGCCTGTCTCCTGGAATTTCCTCCATGCTCTTGAGATTGTGCTGGGAGACACGGCAAACCTTCTGGCAATGGCACGTTTTGATGTGCCATCCTGGAGGAGTTGGATTGCCTGCGCAACTATTGTAGGGTCCAGGTAGCCCCTCATGCTAACAGTAGTGACAGTGACCCTAGCCAAATGCAAAACTGGTGAAAAGGAGTCAGAAAAGATGAGAAGGGGAAAAAATGTCAGTGGCCTCCACCTGTAAAACCATTACTCTTCTGATGGTCGTCTCGTTGTTGCCCCTCTAGTGAACCTGTTGTTAATTTCATTAACACCAAAGCAGCAGAAACTGATTACAAAACAAAACAAAAAACAAAGTGTTGTGTGTGTGTGTGTATCTGTGTTTTACATTTAGATGATAGAAAAAAAGTCTTTGAGTCCTTTTGACCTGAATTAGGAAATATTTATCTGATAATGAATCCACATTTAGATATTTAGTTCCAGCTGCAGAGGTGTGAGCAGATAAAAATCAGATATATATCAAAGTTATTCTACCTCTATTCTTCCAAAATGACTGTAAAATTGAGAAAATCCCACCTTATGCAGAGCTTCTAAACCAAACTGAGCCTCAGGGTTTTAGCTGTTAAACACTAGTAACTGTCTTAAGGCCTCGTTTTACATAATATATCTTTGTTATCCTTTTAAATCCTCAGCTCAAAGTCCCTCATTATTTTTTTAACCTGGCCCTGACTATGCCCGAACAGAGCAATTTAAATTCACCTTGAAACTTTGTAAGTTTCCAGCTCTGTGGGCTTGAAGATGAATTTGAAAGACTGGGACACAAATGAAGTTGAAAGAGTACTTGGATGTTAAAACACTGTATTTGAAACTTCTGGTTGGTAAAGAAAGCAAACACTTCTAATGGTTTTAGAGGATATATTGGTTCTCAAAGCTTTGGTTTGATGCTACAGCTTTTTAAATAAACGCTTAGGTTTCATTTCACTAGCCTTGTTCTTAGCTAAAGGCTAGTGTTAAATGCTTTGCCAAATTGACTGACTGCATGTCAGCAACAAATACAAAGGTGTTCATAATAATGAAATGTTTCAAGTGGAAAGTGTTAACCATTGCATTTTTGGTCAAACATGACCATGCACGCCCTGTTTAAAGCTTCCTTTCATTTGAATCTAACCTTCATGCAGGTGTCTCGGCTGCAGCAGGAGGTACGGAAAGGGGAGCAGGACTTTGGGACGGCTGAGGGACAGATCTCCACCCTAAAGGAGGCGCAAGACAAACTACTGGAGGAGCTGGACGCCACCCGGGCTCGACTTAGAGAGACCAGCAACCTGCTGACTGCCCTGCAGGTCAGACACGACCTCCGCTCAGATCCCAAACTTCTCCCTCTGCAAATATAGAAACTCATCAGGGAGCCAAACAGATCATTTTGTCTTTACAATGTTCTGAAATAACTAAACCTTCAGCTCTACAAAAACACAAAACATGTTTTTAAAATGTCCTTTTTCATTAAAGAGCAGAGTGGACAGTGAAACACTGTGACAAATATGAATAAAAAACAAATAACCCTAAAAGTCCTCACTGCTTGAATTGACAGTTTTTGGTTCTTTCTTGTCTGAAATATTTCCTCTAATCAGGTTAGCAGAGCTTTACAGCAGCGGTCCCCAACCCTTTTTGCACCACGGACCGTTATATGTCAGACAATATTTTCACGGACCGGCCGGGGGGTAAAATGATACGACTGGCATAAAATCAAATACAAACAGCATAAAAATAAAAC